AGCCCCAACTCCCTCTGACCAGGGCAGCCCAGAGAGCTCGTTAGCAGCAGCCCCACCTAGCTAGAACTTCCCAGGAGAAGTTAAGTCAAGGTCCCCTGCAGGAGTCCTTGCCCAGCTCTCCCTTCCTGCTAGCAGCAAGCACCGTCTAGTTCCTCGGGGGTCCCCAGAAAGTCTCCACAACTTCCAACAAGGCCCACAAAAGGCCCAGGCAGAGCCCAGACACTGCTGCGCAAACTGCTGCGTCTGTTCGCTGCCTCTGTTGGCTGCGCTCTGGGAGCTGCGCTCTAGGCCTGGCTCTTATATAGGCCTCTGCCTAGCAGTGACTCACAAGGGTGCTTGACCCACCCAATCAGGAGCCACCTGAAACAAAAGCCCCAACTCCCTCTGACCAGGGCAGCCCAGAGAGCTCGTTAGCAGCAGCCCCACCTAGCTAGAACTTCCCAGGAGAAGTTAAGTCAAGGTCCCCTGCAGGAGTCCTTGCCCAGCTCTCCCTTCCTGCTAGCAGCAAGCACCGTCTAGTTCCTCGGGGGTCCCCAGAAAGTCTCCACAACTTCCAACAAGGCCCACAAAAGGCCCAGGCAGAGCCCAGACACTGCTGCGCAAACTGCTGCGTCTGTTCGCTGCCTCTGTTGGCTGCGCTCTGGGAGCTGCGCTCTAGGCCTGGCTCTTATATAGGCCTCTGCCTAGCAGTGACTCACAAGGGTGCTTGACCCACCCAATCAGGAGCCACCTGAAACAAAAGCCCCAACTCCCTCTGACCAGGGCAGCCCAGAGAGCTCGTTAGCAGCAGCCCCACCTAGCTAGAACTTCCCAGGAGAAGTTAAGTCAAGGTCCCCTGCAGGAGTCCTTGCCCAGCTCTCCCTTCCTGCTAGCAGCAAGCACCGTCTAGTTCCTCGGGGGTCCCCAGAAAGTCTCCACAACTTCCAACAAGGCCCACAAAAGGCCCAGGCAGAGCCCAGACACTGCTGCGCAAACTGCTGCGTCTGTTCGCTGCCTCTGTTGGCTGCGCTCTGGGAGCTGCGCTCTAGGCCTGGCTCTTATATAGGCCTCTGCCTAGCAGTGACTCACAAGGGTGCTTGACCCACCCAATCAGGAGCCACCTGAAACAAAAGCCCCAACTCCCTCTGACCAGGGCAGCCCAGAGAGCTCGTTAGCAGCAGCCCCACCTAGCTAGAACTTCCCAGGAGAAGTTAAGTCAAGGTCCCCTGCAGGAGTCCTTGCCCAGCTCTCCCTTCCTGCTAGCAGCAAGCACCGTCTAGTTCCTCGGGGGTCCCCAGAAAGTCTCCACAACTTCCAACAAGGCCCACAAAAGGCCCAGGCAGAGCCCAGACACTGCTGCGCAAACTGCTGCGTCTGTTCGCTGCCTCTGTTGGCTGCGCTCTGGGAGCTGCGCTCTAGGCCTGGCTCTTATATAGGCCTCTGCCTAGCAGTGACTCACAAGGGTGCTTGACCCACCCAATCAGGAGCCACCTGAAACAAAAGCCCCAACTCCCTCTGACCAGGGCAGCCCAGAGAGCTCGTTAGCAGCAGCCCCACCTAGCTAGAACTTCCCAGGAGAAGTTAAGTCAAGGTCCCCTGCAGGAGTCCTTGCCCAGCTCTCCCTTCCTGCTAGCAGCAAGCACCGTCTAGTTCCTCGGGGGTCCCCAGAAAGTCTCCACAACTTCCAACAAGGCCCACAAAAGGCCCAGGCAGAGCCCAGACACTGCTGCGCAAACTGCTGCGTCTGTTCGCTGCCTCTGTTGGCTGCGCTCTGGGAGCTGCGCTCTAGGCCTGGCTCTTATATAGGCCTCTGCCTAGCAGTGACTCACAAGGGTGCTTGACCCACCCAATCAGGAGCCACCTGAAACAAAAGCCCCAACTCCCTCTGACCAGGGCAGCCCAGAGAGCTCGTTAGCAGCAGCCCCACCTAGCTAGAACTTCCCAGGAGAAGTTAAGTCAAGGTCCCCTGCAGGAGTCCTTGCCCAGCTCTCCCTTCCTGCTAGCAGCAAGCACCGTCTAGTTCCTCGGGGGTCCCCAGAAAGTCTCCACAACTTCCAACAAGGCCCACAAAAGGCCCAGGCAGAGCCCAGACACTGCTGCGCAAACTGCTGCGTCTGTTCGCTGCCTCTGTTGGCTGCGCTCTGGGAGCTGCGCTCTAGGCCTGGCTCTTATATAGGCCTCTGCCTAGCAGTGACTCACAAGGGTGCTTGACCCACCCAATCAGGAGCCACCTGAAACAAAAGCCCCAACTCCCTCTGACCAGGGCAGCCCAGAGAGCTCGTTAGCAGCAGCCCCACCTAGCTAGAACTTCCCAGGAGAAGTTAAGTCAAGGTCCCCTGCAGGAGTCCTTGCCCAGCTCTCCCTTCCTGCTAGCAGCAAGCACCGTCTAGTTCCTCGGGGGTCCCCAGAAAGTCTCCACAACTTCCAACAAGGCCCACAAAAGGCCCAGGCAGAGCCCAGACACTGCTGCGCAAACTGCTGCGTCTGTTCGCTGCCTCTGTTGGCTGCGCTCTGGGAGCTGCGCTCTAGGCCTGGCTCTTATATAGGCCTCTGCCTAGCAGTGACTCACAAGGGTGCTTGACCCACCCAATCAGGAGCCACCTGAAACAAAAGCCCCAACTCCCTCTGACCAGGGCAGCCCAGAGAGCTCGTTAGCAGCAGCCCCACCTAGCTAGAACTTCCCAGGAGAAGTGAAGTCAAGGCCCCCTGCAGGAGTCCTTGCCCAGCTCTCCCTTCCTGCTAGCAGCAAGCACCGTCTAGTTCCTCGGGGGTCCCCAGAAAGTCTCCACAACTTCCAGCAAGGCCCACAAAAGGCCCAGGCAGAGCCCAGACACTGCTGCGCAAACTGCTGCGTCTGTTCGCTGCCTCTGTTGGCTGCGTTCTGCGTTCCGCTACAGTCTGCTGGATTTTAGATACTTTGCAATCTCCATTGAAAATCAGGCCTCATATCAAGTGTATGACTAAGGATGTAAAAGCTTAATGTTAGCATCCCATATGTAAAGTATGGCCTCATTAATGGCAGGTAGTACTGAACTAACAAACAACAGGATGCAAAAGTGAACACTTGGTACCTTTTACAGGAAAAAAAAATAATTTACTTGATTGATTATGTCTTTGTCACAGGGAGCAAACACATCACAACGAAAATCAACTACACTGATTTCAAACTCATGTCTGCAACACAGAGACTGCAGTTAACTAGTCGTCCAAATCATGCATAATGAATAACTGTAATAGCGTATTTCTACTATACAGTTGTTCAGTATAAAATATCATTATTTTTGTGTTTTCATACTCATTAAATTTATCTGTATATCCTTTTTTAAGCAGAGGGTGAAGCTACCTCTGAGATATGATCATTGTAAATAGCTGTTAGGGATGCAAGCGCGTTCCCCCTTCTGGACGTTTGGCCCCCAGGGAGACAGAGACAGCAGAGCTGGGGGCGGCCCTCCTCATCTGGTCATGGAACAATGAAAAGGCTGTTACTGACTTCAAAACATCAGGCTTACTGAATTGTTGGAATTAGCATAAAAGACTTTGGTTTATAATTTTCCAGACTTTTGTATGGGTTTTTTCACAGTCACTAAATGACTGTTAAGTCAAATGGAGATGGGTCTCATCCCATTTTTTTACCAATGGAACTGCATGGATTTCAGATGAATTATTCCTGATTTACTCAGGTGTTGACTCCAAGAATGACAACCCTCGTACCTTCAGAAGGTTTGCATTTGTATTTTTTTCTTTAATCAGATCAGCAGGATCCAAGAATGACAACCCTCGTACCTTCAGAAGGTTTGCATTTGTAATTTTTTCTTTAATCAGATCTGCAGGAAATAAAAGCAAACACAAAGCAACATCTTTTGAAGTGCTCTGAGCATCCTCATTTCTATATTTAAATGAACCGCACGCTTACTACTATACAGAGGTTGTCAGATATGTCAAACAAAAACTCATGGTGAAATCAAATATTTTTATGTTTTCAACTTTGCAGGATTAACACAGGTCAACTCAGTAACACACAGAAAGCTGTTGAGGGCTAGTAAAGGACAGAAAGCTCTCGAGGGCTAGTAATCAGTGCATTTTTCTGCTAAATTTTTGCTCTTCCAACACAAGCAGTTAAAGTGTTTCAGTCTTGTTTTTCTATATGCAGATGCATCTTTGTTTCTGAGGATACGGAAGGCTTCTTTTATTTTAGATGCTTCAGTTGGTCGTAGTCTAAGCTGCATTTATTTTGCTCCATGCTCCACAATTCTATTTTTGCGACTGTTCCTCAATTTTATTTCACCCATTAGTACTAAACTGAGAACAGATTAACAGAATGAAATATTGCTTTGCATGTCAAGCATGAGTGTATTCTTACTTTCTTCCACATACTGGGTAAAGTCATCTCGTAATTTCTGCAACATGAACCCAATCCTCTTTTCAGTTAATCCAAAAGATTTTTATTGTGTGGTTGTTTTTTTCACCAACAGTTCAGCAAATCTGGATTTAGCCCCTAAAATGCTATAATTCTTTTAAGAACAATTTGGTAGGATTATTGTGAATGCTAAAATACTAAAATACTGTTCCTCTATACCTTCTACATACACATGTGATCAAACTCAGGGTTTGTCACTGTCTAACAGGTAAAACCAAAGTGAATGACTTTGTTTACATGTTTTTGCTGAAAAAACAGGAGGAGAAAATGCATGGACTGAATACATTCATGACATTGGGACAAACCACAAAGTAATGAATTTACTGGAGTTCTCCTCTTTCTCAGCAAGAATGGAATTACATTCCTGGGGCATTCTTTTGAATTGCGCTTACTTTGATTTTCTATTTATTTGTTGTTTTGTATGTGGAAAAAAAATGCAAGGATTGTGTAAGACTTCAAAAAGATTATTCTATATACTAAATATATCTTTAAAGTTATCAGGAGAAGATTACAACTTTTAACTCTAAGTTAATCAATCTCAACTTACTGAGGGCATTAAGAGCTTCTCTTATTGTATTATTTCACATAGCCAATTTTGCTTTACCTGCATGTCTTGACGAGTGATGAAGCCTTTGCCTTCCAGATCACAAATGTGAAAGAATTCATATGCTTTTCCCAATACAGTCAGTCCTGGATCCTTTTCTCCAGTCTCTGCATCTCCTGGAGACACAGGACTGGCACAGTCTCCTTGTGTTCTGTCCATCGTCACAGTCTGGTCACAGGAATATTTTGGGATGCCGCTATCCCATTTATTCACAAATTCTGATCTGAAACCTGTGCATGGAAGGTAAGAAAAAAAGCAAAAAATCAGACCTTCTCAATGATCCTTTCCACGAACTCTTAGCAACCATCTCTTTAATTAGGCACTAAAGCCTAGAAGAAGAAAAAGCTTTCTGAATATGCTTGCCCTTGATAGGCTGGAGTAAGGATACTGCAAATGGGATGGTGAATCCAGAGATGGGAGTCTGGGGGAAGAAGGGAAAGACAAAACTAGCTCTGAAAAGCAATCTCAAAGCAAAATCAATTAGTTTAATGAGAAATATAGACAATCCATTAATGTGAACAACAAGAAAACACAAGAAGGCAAAATAAAAAAAATAATTTAAAGACACTAAAAGTACTCAAGTGGTATCCTTTTGACTCTGATCATCTTAATATCACATATCACCATTTCTGTCCAGTGATTTGGAATACAACATGTCCATACGATAACTAATGAATGGAAGATGATGGATGGAACCTGATGCAACAGATTGTTTAAATTAATTAAAGCAAATTTAGAGAAAGAGAATGTATTATGGAATTCTGAAACATTTATTTAGATTCTCCCTCATTGCTTATGGCTTTGACTTTCACCCATGAAGGAGAACGACTAATTCCTATTGCATTTGGCGGTAAGACTTAATAACCTAATCAACCTCCAAAAAGAGTCTTTGTGAAAATTTATATTCATCCCCCACATGAAAACATATTTGGGTATGATTTCATCTTAAATTCACTCTGGGATATCTGATACAAATATTTTTCCCTCTTCAAACTTATTCTAAACTATACAACACACAGTACCAATACAAAAAGAACAGGCTTTACAAAAAACTTGTGGGCTCAGAGGCACTATTGACTTAAACCATGGTTTAACAATTATGCTTCAGCTCATTTTGGTAATTGACTGTCTATATGTTCTTAACTCATTATCAAGTCAGTAAAGTAAGTTCAAAAAAAGTCTGTTTCACTGAGGTACTGCTCATTTGTGACAGGTTAAGAACATGTGTACGGTTCCCAAGGCTCAGGTGACACCAGCAACCTGACTTCATATCTGAGTCTTTGATCTGTGTTTCTCTTTTTCTAAATATGTCTATCTAAAGTAGCCACAAATTTGTCTGATGATCTTTAATGGAGAGGAGTATGCTGAGAAGCCTCTTATACAAAGGAACAAGTCTAAGCTAATCACTATAGCAAATGCTGCTAGTTCCTGCGATTTGTGCACAGACTTCCTTGAGAAAAAAATGATTATTCAAATAACAGTCAATTACATGTGAAAGAATAGAAGTATGAAGACAGATAAAAAATGGTGGAACAAAGAGGCTTTATATACTGTTTGATAAAGTTATTTACGTTTAGCAAACAGCACAGATATGATTCAGAAAATGTCACCATGCTTTCTAAATACTTCTATACCACAAAATAAAATTGCATGCATCATAGGAACCTCACCTTCTTAAAAGTTGCCCCACCTTTCATATACACCATAAAAACTTGCTACACAGCAAGCAGAAGTCATCTGCCATCTTAAATACAGCAGGAAATTAAATTAGAGCATGCATTAATACTCTTAATCATTAGACCAGCTTCCCCAGCTGGTACAGCTCATCTTAATTCCTAAACTGTTCTGATACCTTGTGAACACTGGTAATAATATGAAAGATTAAAATTGCAATTTGCCATGTTACTGGATCAGCAGTGTAATTGTTCCAAGGCCAGTTCTAAACAATAGAAGTAGTTCCATCTGCTCATCCATTGACTAGAGAAATACAACTGCTTACAATTTAAAATTGTGTTACCACCTTTAATTTCCATTCTTTTAACTACAAACATTGCACCCTATAAAAATAGGTCTTACCACGAGCTGATGTAAACCAGTATCGCTCCAATTAACACTAACCAAGGATGTGAGCTTTATGAGGTTTCTTACAGCTGATTAATCATGAGACATTTTTGGACTGGTTTTCAAAAGGCAGGTCATTGTTAATACTTCAACTGACATTTTGATCCATCATGGTTTTCCAGCCTGGTATGCCACAAATCACCAAACTTTAGAGTTACACAGCAGTGCTGATTCAGAAGTCATGCACTGTGACAACCTTATTCTCCTTTACTGTGACTGTTAAAAACTTACAAAGCTCTTTTACTTGTATTCCCATTTCTGAGTTTCTATATTTTAGTAAAGAATCTTTTTAGCTTCTCTCTGTACCACAACAGGTAGACACTTTTTGTCTTAAAGTTTAATCGTAAAAGACTTTTTAACATCCATACATAAAAAAAGGAAAAAGATTATGAAACATTATGTGGCTCACCAAAAAAAACCCCAAGATGTGAAGACACCAGCATCATCCAGTGATTCAGTTTACTACCTGATGCAGACTTCTGAGTCCCAGTATGTATATTCTTAAGACTTTTTTTGTCTTTTCTTTTTGTTTCAACTCTAATTGCAGTTCAAAGGTAATTCAGGTGCTCCATATCTCTGAAAGCCCGATAAATACATAAGAAAAAACTTTTGTACTGTGAGGGTGGTCAAACACTGGAACAAGTTGCCCAGAGACGTTGTGGAGTCTCCATCCTCAGAGATATTCAAATTCCAACTGTAAATGGCCCTGAGCAACCCGCTCTAGTTGACAATGCTTTGAGCGAGGGGGTTGGACTAGATGATCTACAGAGGTCCTTTCCAACTTCAACAATTCGGTGATTCTATGATTCGGTCTGAATCTATGAATACTTTATAAAGAATCACTTTAAAAACAAATAGTTCTCACAGACAAAGGGTAACTTTTTTTTTTTTAATTTTCATTATTCCCTTTCCTAAGTTACTGAAAAGAGGTTGGTTCTTAGAATTCTCTGAAATCAGATCATTTACTTACATGCCTTGACACAGATTGACTAGCCCAGCTTTGGCTTCCTTTAAAAAAAGTAGCAGGTCCTTCAAGAAAGAAGACGACACTAGTGGATGTCAAAGTCATTTTAGTCATTTTTAAATGATTTTTTGAGTTCAAGATGGAAATTCAAGTTCTATATTTATGACAACTATCAGAGATACAAAGCTGAAAAAATATCCATATTTTTCCTCTATTATGACTAAAACAACTACCTTTTAAGCATTCGTGAAAGCATTATTAAGTCTGACTTAACCATATATATGAACACCTGGACTGAACCAGATGAAGAATGTGACTTTCATTTCTTCAAACAAATTTGATTTTTCAAGCAAAAACAGGTAAGTGTGTCCTAAAAGCCTCTAGTATTCCCCACAGTCTGAATTCACTGTCTAGGTAGCTTCTCTCATGATGCACAATCTTCTTCATATTAGGAGACAGTGCAGCATGGGTGGGGGAGTTTAACTGTGGAAGGGAGAAAGCTGAGGTGGAATAGAGTTCCTATGAGGGACCACAATAGGACACTCAGAAAGAAACATGTCATGAAGATAATTTTAGGGGAGCAACTAAGACAGGCAGGGAAGGAAGGCTGCATCCACTTGCCCAAAAAAGGAAATTTTCTGGAGTATGTAGAAACTCCTTTCTTGTGAGTAAATTTGAGTTGGACACTCAAATTCTGTTTAAAAACAGACTTAACAGAAATTCTTCAACCAGCTCTGATTGTAGATTTTAAAGCCAAGGGGGACCATTATGACTACCTACTCCAATATTCTGCTAAACACATGCTAAAGCTTCATTTACACATGATAATTCTGCAGATTTTCATAAAATCACTTCTGATTTACATCAGTATAAGAAAGAGAGAGGAGCAGAAACCTAGGAGACAAAAGACTTGGGAGATGAGGTTGTGGGTTATAAATACTGACATGGTAACCATATAAATGGAATTACTCATTTTCAGAAGATGACTAATTAAAGAAAAAAAAAGATATACAACTAGAGAAGAAGGAAACAAAACCAGGTTATATATCAGAAGCACATTCTCCAAAATGTAACTGGGAAATAGGAGAGAAAACAGAAGATATGCTAAAAGTGACAGCAGTAATGATTCCAAAAGAGGCTAGAGAGGACTTCGTAGAGAGTGCTACATTGCCTTTCTCTGCGCTTGGCTTTTCCCCTAGATGGGCCCCTCAGCCCACAAATCCAAATCTTATTAAAAAAAAAAAAACCTGCCTCTCCTCTGTGCACAATAATGCAGGACCTCAAGATCTCATCCTCATTAAGGTTTTTTATTTTTAACATCTCCATCCAAACAATTAGCTTGCACTGGGTTTGCAAGAAAATTTGTATTTCTCAGATACCAGTTTCCCAATCAGACAAAGAGAGCTGTCTGTCTGGCCTCTGTGGAAGCAGTAGACAAAACTGTCCATGGGGCAAAATGTAGATGTCCAAAAGTAACAGAGGTAACAAGAGGAAGCAGGCAGGTTCATTTAACTCCCATTCTGCTCCTTCTATACGGAGACACTAATGAAAAATAACTAATTTGCAGGCCTTTATCATCACAGAACCTCTCACTTTCCTTCCAGCACTATCTTCTATCACTTTTTTGGTGCCTAAATATTAGCAGTTCTTAAGGATCATACGGAAGAAGCAGCGTGATGTTAAATGAACCTCCTAAATGCTGTTAAACTCTCTGAGAAATAAAGCTACTGTAAGTCGTTAGACTTTTAGTGGAAATGCTCCTTTCCTGCTTGCTTCATTGCTTCAGAGGCTTCCTTTTTAATGTATGTAAGCCTTTGTCATGCTGGAAACGCAAATGTTCTGCTTCTGTAGAGAATTAAAAAGGCACATGAAGCATCAATAGTCTTTCCTGAGTGATTCCAGAGCCCTAACCTGCTCATTTCTTGATATAGTATTACGGGAAAGTAGGTAAGTATGGCAGTATATCTACTTGTAGTGGAAAGTCTAACTAAGAATAAATCAAACTCTATTCCAATACACCACTAGGAAAACTATCAAATGGAATGATTGAGTTGCCCAGTGGCCCAGTAAGAACAGTACTGCCATTGCTAGTAACAGATAACAGGTCTTATGCTAGCTATGTCTTATGCCAGCTGTGCAAGGCAT